ATATTTAAAGGTTTAAAGTGATTTAGTTTGTTTATGTTTTCGTATTTATTCGTGTTTACATTTTTTTTATCTCACCATACGATACTATTATTTTGATGCTTTGGGTTTCCTGTTTCTTATTTTACTTCTCCTTTGTCTTATGTTACTTATATACAGCATAGGTATACTAATAGGTAATGCCAATAATGTCAATACTAACAATAATATTATATAAAAAGTGTTGTTATTTGCTAATTGTATTTATTAACACTTGATATTTTATTATCTTTGCTTTCTCGATTTATTAAAGCCTACCGTCGACAATTCGTCACCTTTGTTCATTCGCCGTAAAAAAACCGCCCCATCGCGACCACCTCTAGCCTCACAGCCGGCGCCACATTCATCTTGCTCTAAATCAAGCCCGTCGTTACCGGTATCATCTAATTCTGTTTCCCCGTCTGTTCCTAAAGGTATTTCAGAAGAGATTATATTGCCTGAAATAGTCACGACATGTATCCTCGTCTACTCCTCTTGTCGTGACGGTGATTTAGCAGGAAGAACCAAGGACCTTACTTTGGAACCCAGCACAGTTGTTCGAATCCCTCCTCGTTTGATATTTGGCTTGTCTACCGGCTGTATCGTAGTGGCCAGATTTCTGGACTGTTTGGAGGAGTCTTGGAACCAAGCATGTTAGCGCTTATTGTATTTATCTTCTTTTTGCTAACCTTAGGCTTTAAGAAATTGTATTAATTTGTATCTAATCTGTCTGGAACGTTTAGTAGGGAGCTTGACAAAGGGAATATTGAGCACTACAATATTGACGAAGTCGTCTTGTTTTTTCAAGCTCTTCAGGATTTTCTTCACGGAGGCATGCAAACGAGTATAGACTTAATGGGGTAGCGGAGTTAGGCAGGCTCATATTTTAGGTAGTTCGTTAATGGAAGCGAAATTACTTTGATTTTAAAATAAGATTGACATTTTGAGTTAAAAACGGGTCCTCATCCAGGAACAACTTCATTCTTTAATCGAAGGTATGAAGACCTAGATGATGCTGCCTTTTGTTTGGCCTTTGTCTAATCTGTCGAAGATCTAATCTGTTATGCTTGGGCTAGGTCTGCAAAAAGTAGTTTAGGATTTATATTAATTTGAATCAGAAATTATTTCATATTTAATATTAGCTTTTTATGTAACCAGGTCTTTTTGTCCTGTCTGTGCCATCAATCTAGGTCAACCTCCATTTAGAGGGCTTTCTTAAACAAGAATTCTTTGATGTTAAGAAGACTTGCAATTCTGAATGGCGATATTTCTGCCTTAGCAAGTTATAATTTCTTCATTTAACAGGTTGTTTGACCTTGTTTTCGCGACATGGTCATATATTATTAGAACGCACCTAGTTTGGGGTACATTATCTACATGATCATTTCCAACGTTGAACTATGGACGTGGTACATTCTCAAACGTTTCGTCGGCATCGTCAGTGAGTATCGCCATTCTTAGCGCCACACAACAACTTGTCAAAAAGACAAGTAAAGCCGATCATTTGACCAAACTTGTGCTAAACAACTCTGGTATCTCCCCTTCTGCCCTGGTTATTCGCATTTCCGGTTGCATCCTATCATGCCTTCACTATTACAATTTTTACCGTGTTTATTTAGATAGAGGGGTGTGCTCCTTTGAGCTACATGAGACCTTCACACTCCAGCTGTCGTTCTCCTCCCCCCCTTTATCCTTGTGCAGGGAATGTTGTTCAGAGTCTGCTTTATTATTATGCAGTCCTCTTTCCTAGTCTTATCTCAACAGGGAATGTTGATCAGAGTCTGCTTTATTATTATGCAGTCCTCTTTCCTAGTCTTATCTCAGTCTCTCCAAATCCGTCCGCTCTACCCCTTGTTCACCTATTTACTCGACTCCTGCCAAAACATCTGTCCTACTCGAAGCAATATTCGCGCTCACCTGCGTCTGGGTGACTAATTCGAGGCTCAAGCCTCAGTATAATAATCGCCCCTTTGCTACATGGACCACGTCTCTGGTACAACCGACCTACCGTCAGCTACGGTTCCCGCCGTTTCTATCATGTTCCTTTATACCAAGTCTATGACTTGCTATGCCCGAGTCTCTTGTGTGCCAACCCACAAACGTTGTGGTTCAAGAAGTGGGTTGACCTCGTTGTCGCAACTTGGTCTTGTGGTCAGGGAAACTATGTAAAACGCACCTAGTCCGAAGTCGTATGCCATAGTAGTTGTCTTGTTTG